TGTCCTCACCACCAGGGTGCGCTCTCCTGCATTGCCCTGGTGAGTTCACCCCACGCTGTGATGGGCAAGGGGCAGGGCCAGTTTTCCTGCTTTCATGTCCTCAGGGTAGGCTCTCCCACATGTACACCTTCAGGGCCAGCTCTACTGTGTTGCCCAGCAGTGGTGGAGGGGCCACTCTCCTGAGTGCTGCAGCCAAAGAGGGACAGGAACAGCTCTCTCACGCTTACGACCTCAGGGCCAGCTCTCCCACCTGCCTCAGGCACTGATGGGTGGCTGGCAGGGGAGCGGGGAGGATCTCTCTCCTGACCATGCCACTGCCTGACAGATGAGTAATGGGGAGCTCTCCCATGCTCAAAACATCGGGGCTGGCTCACCCACACCTCTGCCAACGGGGTTGGCTCTATAGCTGCTTGGGGCCAGGGGCAGCTCTCCAGCCCTTAGGACCTCAGGGCCAGCTCTCACTCTCCCATGCTGCCACAGGACAGATGAGTAATGTAATCCACTTTTATTAATTTAGGTTTTTCCGTGTAGGTTTTTACCTTGCTTTCACTTTGTCCGACTCCCTCCATGCCTCATTACATTTCCTGTGTGCCTAGCGTCTTCCTCCTCCTCTTCCTTTCTCTGCCCGGGAATCCTACCTATACCTCCTGCCTAGCTATTGGCTGTTCAGCTTTTTATTACACCAATCACAGCAATGTATCTTCACACAGTGTACAACTATCCCAGAACAGACAGCTCTCTGTGTTAAATGCTCCGACTCCAGAATGTGATCGTAATTAGAAGGTGTGTGTGTGTGTGTGGGGATACTCTGCAGACTCATTATCTCAAGTGAGATCGTCATGAATTGTCTAGAGAGCCCCTAAATCCAACAAGATGTCCTTATGAGAGATACATGACGGTGAGGTGTGAGAAAGAAGAGGCGAAGCCGTGTAAAGATGGAGGAGAAGGTTGAGATGGTGCAGCTACAGACCAGGAAATACCTGGAATTGCCAGAAACTGGAAGGAGCAGGGAACAGGACCGAGCCCTGTGAATCTGCAAGTCAATAGCTTCGTTTGTTTTCAACATCCATCCACTCTGGTATTTTATCAGGCAGTCTCAGGAAGCAAATGAAAAGAGTACTGGATAGTGATGGGAGAAACTTCCTCCAAGATACCGCATGCTCCTGACCCGCTTTCAAGCAAGCTGATAACTGCCCTCTGCTATCTTTTCAAGGACAATGGTTTTGTGAACAGGCCTGGGAGATGAAGTGTTTCTCTGCAGACCAAAGGGCATGTGAGGCTATTGTCTCTTTAAACGATACCAGTTGTCCTCACTGTGACTCCACAAAGACTTGCACATGATCCAGCCATCCAGAGTCCCAGTGTGGATGGAGAAGGGCTCCTGAAACCCCACCCCTAGGGGAGGAACTGTTGGCAGTTGATGGCTGCTATCAAAGAGAGTCAGTTTTCTTCAGGGATGCAACCCCAGGAAGGTTGCTCCAGCCCGGTGAATGGCTCTAGACTCGTGCACACGTGGGCTGCACAAAGAGGACCCAGTTGATTAAGAGCACAAGACGTCTCAAGGATGAAGTGATAGGGTATAGCGGAGGCATTGGAGAGGACAAAATGGGGGATAGATTTGATCAAAACACGTTGTATGCACGTATGAAATTCTCAATTTAACTTAATATAAATAGTTTTTAAGATGTGAGTTCTCTTAGCACAGGCTCCTTCCCTGTAAAATCTATTGTGTGTCTGCCGTCCATATCCCTCCACCTTGTGGGAACTAGGGCTTTGGGAACGGACATAAATGTGATGATACCGGGGAGTTATGGGTGTAGCCACGTCGTAGAATGCCTGCCCAGCACAGCATGAGTCCAGCCCCCAGGCAGTTAGAGTGATTAATAAAGCACCTTTTGTCTCAGACCCGGAACTCTTCTGCTTTTTATCCATAAAACCACGGAGAGTGGCTTTGTTAGAACGATGGCTGTACCTTAAAACCTCAGACTCGCCACAGTTAATAGCAGATATTATCCCTAAATCTTCTATAATGAGGCTATAAGTGTCACTTTAGCGCCCCCCCCCACTTCTTGGAAATGCCTAATTTAATTCTATGCCTTCCCTACAATTCTCTAAAATTATATCAACATTATTGGCGGAAGACGCGTATTGTCAAGAGATTGACCCATTACGACGCTGCTTTACCTGTCCATCAGCGAGGAGAGAGAAGAAGGAAGAGGGAGAATTTTACACCTGAAAAGCAGCCAAATAGGAGCAAAGATGTTGATGAACGTAAGAACACGGGCAGCCTTTATTATCCTTGGAAAGTTATACGGAGTCAGGACTGCCTTGCTTAGAATGTATCATCCCTGCCTGTCACCTTGAATTAGATGTAGAGATCACTTGCTGACAGCTTTTCTTCAGGCGGTAGATGTAGACTCCAGCCTTCACCTCCCAGACCCCTATAGCTGAGATAAGACACCGTACTAGAGTGCACTGCACTCTGTGGAATAACTAATTGGTACCATTTGTGGTTAAACGTTGTTAATACATCATGTCAACAATGCTGTCATCATTCACAACTAGGCTGAAGGAACCAGAGGAAAGCTTCAGCTAACAAGCCTGAGCCAGTCAGAGCAGGTCATACGCAAAGTCACAAAGCTGTTCAACTGTGTCTGTGGCACCGCCCACTCCTGTTCATGTTTTGGAACCTCTTCCCGGGGTCCCTGGGCTTCCTCCCAGCAGTCTCAGGCAGTCATCAAGGTGCAAGCGTTCTGATCTTCCCCGAATCCCCACAGCATTCTCAATTACACCTGACTGGGAAGTTCCCAACTGTCACTGGTGGCAAACCAACTTCGGTCCTTTCTTGATCTCCAAGAGTCACTCAAAGAGAGCCCCCGAAGACCAACTGGCAACATTAGGGATCGAAAGCCACATGTTAAATGCTGGAGGATGTGTCCCTTGCGGGATGGAGTTGAGAAACAGCTATTTCCCATGTTAGTGAGGCTTCTACTGCTGTGACCAAACACTTGAGAAAACAACAGAAAGGGAGGACTCCTTTTAGCTCACTTCTTCACAGGTTTCAGTCCTCAAGTCCTCCACTGATGGAGGCCCTGTGAGATGGAGTACACACACACACACACACACACACACACACACACAGCATGAGCGTGGGATGGAGGAGGTTCATCACCTCCCAGTGGTCAGGAAGCAGAGCGGGAGAAAGAAGGAGCCAGGTTTTAGTTACAGCTTCCAAAGCACACCATTAGCAATCTGCTTCCTCTAGCTGGGCTGCACCCCCTAGCGTTTCCAGCCTCTCCCCGAAATAATATCACCATCGGGGGGGACCAAGCGTTCAAGGTGTGAGCCTGTGATGGATATTTCATACGCAAATCATAACATCTATGTTGTATCCACTTGAGCTTTTGCGTCAAAGAACTGGGAGGGGGAGGCGCTAAAGAAGTAGGAAAGGGTGACAATCTTGCTACCATTGTCCTGGTTGTCAACTTGACATAACCTGGAGTCACCTGAGAAGGGAGTCTCAATTGAAGGATTGCCTAGCATGGGTATGTCTGTCTCTGGAGAAGTGTCTTGATTACTAATTGATGGAGGAGGTGGCGTGGGAGGTGGGGGGGTGGAGGGGGGTGGGGGGGGTTGGGGCGGGGGACGACAATTCTGTGGATGACATCATCACTAGCCAGGCAGTGCTGGGCCTGTAAGAAAGCTAGCTAAGCAAGCACAGACCTGTGAGTGAGCAATGAGCAGCGTTCCTCAATGGGTTCTGTTCCCAGCCGCTACTTGAGTTCCTGCATTGACTTCCCTCAATGATGGACCATGCCCTGAAACGGAAGCTGTGTACATCCTGTCCTCCCCTAAGCTGCTCTCGTTCAGAATGCCTTAGTGCAGCAACAAAGAAGACAAAGAATTCTTCCCTTGGTTTGGGTATGGAGGGGTATTAACCAGAGGGCAAGGTGGCCACTCCATACTCAAGAACTCTTCTTAGCCACAGAAAGTATCACCTCCCTGAAGGACTCCTCTCAATAGACTCATTCTGTGACTTCCTTTTCCTGTGGGCACGTGGTCGAGGGGGAAGGGGACTCTTCTGGCATCCGGAAAGCCTTACAGACAATGGCGTCTGGACTTGTGAATGCTGTCTTTGTCTGTTCCTCGGAAAACAGATAAACTTACCGACCGTTAATGAAAGAAGTGACTATTGTGCTTATCAAGACTCTGCCAGTGAAGAGGAAACAAACCCCAATCAAAATAGTACAATTAAAAATAGATTGACTGACTCACTCAGCCAAAGTCCAGAGGGGCACGGAGTACACATCAGAGACCCAGGAACTGTAGCAATGCCAGCAGGTGTCTCTGTGTGTGTGTGTGTGCCTCTGACTCTCTCTCACCTCTGGTTTTCTCTTTCAGCTGCCTCCTCTCTCACCGCCTGTGATCGGCTTTTCTTTGAAGGGCACTAGAGTGTTCCTGGCTTCTGTCACCCTGGTTTGTAAGTCAAAATGAAAGAAGTGATTCCTTCCAAGTGCTCACATAGAGAGTCTACAGGAACTCACAGTGCCAGCTTAGGTAAAGGTGACCTTCTAAGGGACCACATTCTGAGCTAAAAGTAGGCAGACGGATCAGGTAACAGCAAATCCTGTGCAGTGAGACCCTCACCACCTCTCGGCGGGATAATGCAGGCTAAGCTCCCCCAGAGGTAAGGAGAGAGTGGAGTGTGGGGAACAGAGGTCCTAGCCTGCCAATAGATGGCCCAACCAAGGGCTTATACTGACTCGGCTCTGATAGGGCTGTTCCTTAGTGACACAGATCTGAAAACATAGCCTAGATCTAACACCCCAAGGTCCACCCCAGGGACTCACTTCCTCCGCTGAGACTCCGCCTCTTCAAGGTTGCACGACTATCCAAAATAGTGGCACCACCTGGCACCAAATGTTCAACCAGATGAGCCAATGTAGGACATTTTACATTCAAACCACAGCAGGCTGGGTGCTAGGTGTGTGCATACCTACCTGGTCAGAGCTACGCTCAGGCAAACGACCACTTCATCGCTCTCTGGACCTGGATTCAGGCTGCCAATCTTCCTGCATTCTCAGCCTACTTTGGATCGCTAGTCTTCTTGTTTGAGCAGGAAGCACACCTTTTCAGAAGGCTCGCGTGTTGAAGACTTGGCCTCCTGTTAGAGGTGCTCCTGAGAGGTAGGAAGGAGTCCCCTTAGACATACCAAGGAGGCCAAGGCCCTTTACACGGTGATTCCTATTGATTTTCATGTTGTGTGTCCTACCTAGCGGCAGTCATTGAAATAGGGGCAGCGAATATGTGCCATGCATTCTGCCTCTCTCTGTTCATATCCTCCTAGTTGATGTAACTGATTAGTCAGTGTGCATTCCTGCACACTGAGTAGGAAGGGCATCAGAGTCGTTCTCAATAAGCCTGTTCAGGCAGGCAACCCCAGGCAACTGAAGTCAGAGTCGGTGTGTGAAATGAGGCTCGTTTATATCGATTGTACAATCATACACCAGTTAATTCTCTCTCCCCCACCTCACCCCCGCTTCTCTCTTTTCCTTCCTCCCTCCTTTGCCAATCAGCACAAGGAGGAGGACCTGTGTAAAAGTCTCATGGTGCTAGAAGGATACTGCTATCGTTTGGATCTGGTGTGTACCCCAGAGGCCCTGATTTAAAGACTTGGTCCTCTGCTTGGTACTATTAGAAAGTGATAGCTGGGCGGTGGTGGCACACGCCTTTAATCCCAGCACTTGGAAGGCAGAGGCAGGGGGATCTCTGTGAGTTCAGGTGGATTTACATAGCAAGTTTCAGGACAGTCAGAACTACATAGCCAGACCCTGTCTCAAAACACCAAAAGAAAGAAAGAAAAAGAAAAAAGTCTTTAAAAGGGTGAGGCTTAGCATCTTAGTTACTTTTCTGTTGTGGTAAAATCCCATAACCAAAGCAATTCATAATAACCTTTCGTGGCAGGGAAGCAGAACAGCAAGCGTCAGACATGGAGCAGGGGCAGGAAACTGAGAGCTCACATCCTTTACTGCAAACAGGAAGCAGGAAGAGCAAACAGGAAGTGGGGTCAGACTATAAACACTAAAGCCCCCCACCCAGTGATATTATTCTCCTATCAAGGCCATACTGCTTAAACCTCCCAACTGGGGACACCAAACACCAGAGCCTGTGGGGGACATTTCTCATTTAAATCGCCACACAAAGTGAGACATCTTATGTCATTAGGTGCACACTTCTAAAAGAAGTTGTGAGATGCCAGTCTCTTTTTCTCTCTCTATTTTTCATCATTACATATCGTATCGCCATAAGGTGAGAACCAAAGTTCAGCCTCACTAGAGACCTGAAACCATGAGCCAAAATTAACCTCTCTTCTTTTTGTGTTGATTCTCTCGGGTATTTCATTACAGTAACAGAAAACTAACACAGATAAGTACATCTTCTATTGCTTACAAGTAAAAGATATCCAGATATTTGCTAACTAATAGTATAAATGTGACCCTTCTAGCGTCCCTTGTTTAAGAATAACTAAATTGAACAACAGCAGTATAGTATGATCAGAAACATTGAAGAAAGGAAAAATTGAAGAAAAGGGGAAAAAAGGAAAGCATAGTTCTGAAGGGTCACAACAAATGCACACTTAGGAAAATTTACAAGATAAATATGGAAATCACCTTTGGAAAATAACTTCTTTGTAGTATCAACTAAAAGAAAATATTAGCTGTTTACACAGTAATATGGAGCTAGGCATGGGGTGCATATTTGTAATCCTAGCTACCAGGAATGCTTCAGGCAGGGGGTGTGGTAAGTTCAAGGCCAATCTGGGCAACATAGCAACACAGATCTCATTTTTAAAAATAAATCACATAGATAGGTGTGTGCCTCAAACCTGTAGTTTCAACACATGAAAGGCTGAGGCAGGTGAATTGCCATGAGTTGGAGGCCAGCTTGGTCTATGTAACAAGTTCCAGGCCAGCATGAACCATAAAATGAGGTCTTGTCTCAAAAAACAGCAGTAACACTAACATAATACACACACACACACACACACACAGAGTGATATTTTATTTGTGCTGAAATGTAGTGATATTTTATTTGTGCTTTAATAAATAAAGCTTGTCTGGAGATCAGAGGAAATAGCAAGACATTTTAAGGTAACACAGAAGTCAGGTAGCAGCAGCACACGCCCTTAATCCAATCACGTATCAGGCAGGATCTCTGTGTGTTCAAGGCCACACTAGGGAACAGAGCCAAGTGTGGTGACACATGCCTTTAATTCCAGTAACAACCAGGTCTGGAGATATGTACAGACCAATAGAAAGTGACAGAGCTGTGTAGGAAGAGGAACTGATGTAGCTGGACAGAGAGCAAATCAGATGGCAGAACAGCAAGGCCTATGTGTGTGGGTAGATAGGAAGTAACTCGCATTTGGAAGCTGCAGAGTTGGTGAGGTAAGGTTGGCTGGTGGCTTTCCCTGCTTCCCTGATCTCTAAGGCTTTCACCTCTATATTTGGTTCTGTGTTTTTTATTTAATAAGACCATTTAGAAATTTATCTACACACACACACACACACACACACACACACACACACACACACACACACGCACACACACACACACGTACATAAGCCAAAAGATAATACTGCAGGTTGAGATAAAACAGATTGTATGAAGAAGATAACACAAAATTGAACACAATCAAAATAGTTATTTTGGGTACTACAGGATACTACAGAAAACAGACAATGTAGAGCATTGAATTTGAAAAGTAAAAGACAAATTAAGAGTCCCTGAAGAACCACATAAGGCAAATTGAACCAAACAATGAATAGTCTTTAGGTAATAGATATCGATGCACACGCAGCTCCATGCTGTGCTAGTTCTACCAAATGCTTAGGTGGGCAGTGGTGGCACACTCCTTTAATCCTAGCACTCGTGAGGGAGAGGCAGGTGGATCTCTGTGAGTCAAAGCCAGCCTGGTCTACAGAGGGAATTCTAGGATATCAGAACTACATAGCAAAACCCTGTCTCAAAACACACACACACACACACACACACACACACACACACACACACACAGAAAGAAAGAAAAAAGGAAAAGGAAAGAAAAAAGAAAGGAGTCTTTACAGGGCAAGGCTTAGCATATCAGTTACTTTTCTGTTGTGATAAAGTCCTATGACCAAAGCAATTCATATAATCCATCACGGCGGGGAGACAGAGCATCCTCACCATGTTCGCCCTGTCTTAGAGAAGACGTGAAATGGAAAGTTCTCTAACTCATCTGATGAAACCGTAAGTCCTCTCCCTATCAAAGCCAGGCAAGGGCAGCAATAGACAATAAAATTATGGACCAGTGTTACTAACAGACAGACTTAATTATACCAGAGTTAGTAAATCAAATTGTCCATGTGTTAATAACACAACACAATGAATTTCAAGGAAACAAGAATATTTTATTATTCAACAAACAAAACTCAAACCACACAGGTTAAAGAAAACACCAGGAAAGCCTACCATCTGTTCCAAAGTCATAAAGAAGGGACTTTAGTAAACTAACATTCAAGGTAATTTCCTTAAACGGATAAAGAGGAACAGTCAAAATCTATATCATACATGATACATAATGCTGAAATGCTATTTTTTTTTTTTTAAAAAAAAGTTCTGATCCAAGACTTCACATGATGATACACTCCTGTGATCTCAGAACTCAGGAGGAGGAGGTTGAGGAGTTTGAAGTTAGCCTAGGCTACATAGAAAGAACTTACCTCAAAAAACAAAACCAAAACCAAAACCTGAATATAAATACTATAAGCCTGATTTGTAATTGGGCACAAAGAAGTATTAATATATGCATACAATGCTGCTCAAAAACCACAGCTACACAGTGAGGCATGTTAAAGACCAAACGGATTATGACTAAAAACGAAGAAAGGAGCTGGGCTTGGTGACACATACCTGTAATCCCCATTCTCAGAAGACCAAGGCAGGAGGATTACCAAAAGTTTGAGACCAGCCTGAGCTACAAAGGCAGTGTCAGGACAGTCAGGGCTGCATCGCTTTGTCTAAAACAAAGGAAAACTAAAGGGTTACGTCTCCTAGACAATGCTGATTTAAACATGGAAAATGTAAGACAACCTGTAAGACATTGACAATTTATTAAACGTTTCATGTGGCATAGATTGCTGTATTAGGAAATACACAATTCCCAGACACTTAGAGACTACTACAGCATTCCAGACTTTGGTCAACTTGTAGAGTATGACATGGAGAGCAGAAGAGATAAGGACCCTGCCTTCAAAGTTCTCAATCTGGTGAAGGAGATAGGCAGTTAAAATGGTATCACACTGAGATTAGAGTCCCCACAGGGGGACCTGCAGGGTTCCAGGACTCTCTTATCTTGGGAAGATATAGGGAGAGGCTCCAACAGAGCTTCCCAAAGGACTTGGGGCACCACTGAGGTTTGAAAGCTGAGAAGTGGTCATGCAAAGATCCTAAGGAAGAGTCTGGCTGATGAGTGCCACTTGGGGTGTGAGAGGCAGGGTGCCACTGGAGGGAAGGAGAGCTTGAAGGCTTGAGAGGAGGAGAGAGGTGGGAGGCGGGAGGTGAAGGACCTTGAAAGCCTTGGTAAGTGGTTAAGAGTGCCATCCCAAGGACCTGGCAAGCCATTCAGGCAGTTTATATGTTAGAAAAACAGCCCTGTCTGCAATGTCGGGAGTGAGTGTGGAGACCAGGAGCCAGGCGGATGCTAAAGAGACAGATGACGGGAGAGCAGAGACATCTGTGAAGAGATGAAGATGGCCAGCGGAAGGCTGGGAGGAAGCAAGCGGGCGAGATCTTCTCAGACAATCGGGAGGGGCACAGGGCAGGGTCAATGGGATGCGTGAGAGAGCAGTGACAGTCATATTGTACATGACACCAAAGACTGGGAGGAAATGCACCCGAATTGTTGAGATTCCCTCTTGGTTGTAAAATCACACTTGCTTTTGTGTCCTTGTCTGTTTTCAAAAGTTTCCTATTAAGTAGAGTGCTTTTCAGTATCAAGAAATACATTACTGTTTCGTTTCTCCGAACATTATTCCATAGAGCTCGGCTCTCAGTGAGAACAGCTTATTACGGCCCATGCTAACAGAACATTCTCTCGGGGGGAAAATGGTTCGCTCTTCATTGGTAGTTTCGGGTGGCAGCTCGTAATCCCTCAGGACTTGGTGTTTTAGAGGCTTGCAAATCACATGAAAAGGCAGAGAGAACTCGGGCTTGGCAGAAGCAGGGACCTTGATTGCTAACACTTAGCAGGCTTGGGAAGCCTCTTAATCTCCTTGGAAATACCAACTATCACTCTCTCCGCGCCAAGTGGAATAAAGAATAATAAAGCGCTCTGCAAACGCACGCTGACGTCAGCAGTCACGTGGCGCTGCCAGCCAAGAAATACAGAAAAGCTCCTCCTGGCATGTATGTATGACCCTCGAAGTCTTGCTCAAAACCAAACCTCCCTAGGTGTCTTTCCACGCGTCATTGTTCTTTGAAACACTCCCATCAGGGCTTGGAGAGATGACTCAGTCCTTGAGAGCACTTGATAACTCTTGCAAAAGACCCAAGTTCAGTTCCTGGCGCTCAAGTCAGGCGGCTGCCCATATAAGGGTCTGTATCCGCAGATCCAGAAAGGTTGACACACCCTCTGGGCTCTGCAGGCACCTGCTCTGTATACACCAGAGACACACATATGTATGCATAATTAAACATACAATCTTTAAAAAAGCAACCTGCTTAGAAACTCCCGTGAGGTTTAATTTCAAATCTCACCCTGACTGGATTTGTTAGGGGTCTAGGGCATGAGTGGGGTTTACCTTCTCCTGTGTCCCTGCGGAAGTTTCCCAAGAGGATTAACTGAGAGGGTAAAACTCCCCTGAAATACAGGCACCGCCCCTGAACGCAAAGGGAAGCCCCCCCAGACAGCCAGGAGCACCGACCTCCCCAGTGTTCTGCTTACATGTCCCTCCAGACGTGAACAAGCAGCCATACCTCCCTCACCGAAACGGGAGCCCACTAACCCCTTGTCTCCTGTAAGGTGTTTCTCCTCTGGTGTTTGGTTACAGCAATAAGGAAAAACTGCAATTCTCCTTCAGTTGCAATAACTTCAGTCTCCTTGCAGTTCTCAGCAAGCCATACCCTTGATGATCGGCAAAGCAAGAGAGAGGGGCGGGGCATATTTCTAAGATGCCTTTAGAAGATGCCTGATGAGCCGGCGTTGACTGAATTTCACCCTCATCCGGGATAACTGTGACCTGTATTGTCTTCACCTTCAGGAACCTCAGGCCTACTGGATCTGATAAAGCTCAATGAATTTGGGGTTCAGCCCCACGGGGCTCAGGTCTTAACAAATCATCCCATAGGGGCTGTTTTCCATTAATCTGGTGATTTTATATTCTTTTAAAAAAGAAACAAAAATGAGCTTAATTTTGTTTTGAGTACTAGGTATTGAATCTAGGGCCATCACATGTTCGGTGAGCACTCCAACACTTATTTATGTATTTATATCCCAAGCTCTCTTAAAAAAAATAAAATAAGGAATTAAGTTGTTCCTCCTGCCTCAGCCTCCCAAGTATCTGGGATTACAATTATGTGCCGATAGGCTTGACTGAAATATATTATTTTCATTCATATGACCAACTTTTCAATGAGGCCTATGTAACACGTGTACCGCAATATATTGTGTACCCTAATAAACTTATCTGGGGATCAGAGGACAGAACCAGCCACTAGATTAGACATAGAGGCCAGATGGTGGTGGCACACACACCTTTAATCCTAGCACTTGGAAGGCAGAGATCCGTCTGGATCTCTGTGAGTTCAAGACCACACTGGAAACAGAGTCAGGCATGGTGGGACACACCTTTATTAACCCCAGCACTTGAGATCTCATGCCTTTGCTACCAAGTATTGGGGAAGCAGACTCGCCTTTAATCCCAGCACTAGGAAGGAAGGAAGATGGCAGGGCACAGAAAGGTGTATAAGGTGAGTAAACAGGAAGTCTGGCTCTGGAAGTTGGTAAGGTAAGGTTAGCTGTGGCTTGTTTTATTCCCTCTGATCTTTCAGCTTTCACCCCAATATCTGGCTCTAGGTCTTTTTTTTTTTTTTTTTTTATTAATAAGACCATTTAGCAATTCGTGTTACAGGCCTATATTGAAAACATACAGAAATACAGGCCTATATTGGAAATCCTCATTACGTCTGCTTCTCTCCGGATGAGCTATATAATTCTCCCAAGAATGTGAATATTGAAACTCTAAAGTGCAGCCATTCAGTCATCATGAGCAATGCCCTAGATCTTCAGCATCCAGAGAATAAATTATCTCAGAAATAACTGCACCCTTTTATCACTTCCTCCTCTTAGCCCATTTTTTTGAAGTTCAAAGTAGATTTTTCAGCCACGGACAGACGAAGCTTCGTGAGGAAAGGAGGGGTTTCAGAAGGCAGACAATCAGAGAAACATCTCCCCCCCCCACCGCCCCCCAGGCTTTATCCCTTCCTGCCACAGGATGGCAAACAATTTCAATGACTGTGTCCCCTGGGAAGCAGAGAATAAAAAGGCTAAGCGCACACAAATTGAAAAGCCGTAATACAATTACCTTCTGCTCTTTCAAACACCCAGACTGTGACCAGGGAGGGCCTCGGAGCCTGCAGAGGCAGCTTCCTCTCTTGGGATAAGAAAATGGCTGTGGCAATGGCTGACAACACCTTGCTTCAAAGGGCTGGGCTGAGATAAGGCCCTGTGGTGTCGCTAGACTCCAGCAGCCTGTCGTCAAAAGGCCTGTAACCTGAAGGTGCTGATTGCCTCTCAGAGCAGAAGGTTAAAGGCTGGACTTTGGGGCCAATAGAACGTTTTGCAACCAACCCTTGGACGATAAAAAAAACAACAACACCCCGTTGGCTTTATCCTAGCCCAGGGAAGTAGAATTCCATTGTCCGATTTCCCCAGGAATTCTTCCTGTGAGCCTTTGTGGAACCTGTTCACGGGGTGCTGGATCAAGAACTTGGACCAGGAGAAGTCTACACAGGCCAGTGGGATATGAGAGAAACCCCACCAAGGAATCCAGGCTGATCACAATCTTTCTAGCAGAAGTAACTGTGACTCCCCGCCCCGCCCCGCCCCCCCTCCCGGCTCTGAGGTGGTATAGCTTTATCTCTGGGCAAAACAATTCCTTCCTTTATCGTTGTTTGGACAGCCCTATGAAAACGGGTCAACGGAAATACGCCAACTGTTGGCATGGCCATATCTATCATATACTTTTTATATATATATATAAGGTCTTACACTCCCATGAAGCCTGGCCTGGCCCTGGGTGATGACCCTCTTATCCCAGCCTCCTCAGCACTGAGATTACAGGCCTGTACCACCTATAATCTTTGTATACTTTCTGATTAGTTCCTTGAATGTTTAAGAAATTATTTATTGTTTTTATACATAGGTGTGGCTTGAAAGTAGCTCTTTTCCTAGAGGAAAAACTTCCAGAGTCGGCTGTAAATGAAAATAATGGGCGTGTTATTTTCCAGAGATGAGTCGAGCTTTGGTGTTTGGAGGACTTCAGCTGGAACTTTCGAGGCCCTCCAAACTGTGCCTTCCTCTCAGCTCTCTTTTTAGAGTTAGAAGGGTGAAGACCCTTGGACACTTGAGTGTAAAATGAAACAAGATTCCCAAGAATTGGATATCAGCGGGTCTTTAGGAGAGCCTAGGACACAGGATGAACACGTGCCCACCTGTTACATGCTCGATGTCAGCATGTCTTTTAGGTCAGCATAGGGCACAGGATGGACACGTATCCACCTGTCACATGCTCATGCCAGGAGCCCAGGCCACTTGGCTGCAAATTCAAGAGAGCATGTTGCTGGCCTAGAGCCAGAATTGGGAGCTGCAGAAATGTACTTTGGACTGCCTGGAAGGTTCAAGTCGATCCTGAAGCATGCTCATACTCCTGTAGAGTTCACATAATCCCTAGCTGATCTCGACTCACATGTCCATCCACTCTCTAGTTGGTAAATATAGGAATAGTCCCATTTCCATAATCTAGTTTTTAATGGAAAACTGGGACAATGTCTGCCTTCTCACACCTCACTTATGGGTAGCATCTGATGGATTGTATTAATTTATGAGCTGAAAAACCATGTGCACTCCTTCATAGCTCCTTGGATGAGACGTGAAGTACAGGGATGACACTTTGCATGCGTCAGAAGCGTGGTGTGCAGATCCCTTGGTTTGACATCTTTCTGTCTCACCACATCATGAAGGGCAGGACATTTGAGGCCTTTGGTGACAGAAGCAGATCCGTTGCTTACCAGCTCTGGGATGTCTGGTAAGCTATTGGCTTTTCTTTGTGTGGATCAGTGTCGGGGATGATGGCACAGAGCTCCCCAAGTAACAATACCTGGTGCATAGCCAGGATATTCTTTTGGTAAGCCCAAATTTGACCCAATGATTCTAGAATATGTTACTCCAACCCATTCGTTAGGTATGAGATAAAAACCATGGGCTGGAGAGATGACTCAGTGGTTAAGATCTCTGACTGCAGGGTGGGTCAAGGCCGTGATGGGGGAACCCACAGAGACAGCTGACTTGAGCTCCTGAGAGCTCATGGATTCTGAATCACCAATTAACGAGCCTGTACGGGACCGACCTAGGCCCTCTGCTTGTGTGCGACAGTTGTGAAGTTTGGCCTGTTAGTGGGGTTCCTAGCAGCGGGATCAGGACCTGTCCCTGGTGCTTGAGCTGGCTTTTGGGAACCTGTTCCCCTTGCTGGGTTCCTTGTCCAACCTTGATGCAGGGGGAGGAGCTTGGTCCTGCCTCAACTTGATGTGCCATGCTTTGTTGACTCCTGTGGGAGGGCCTGCTCCTTTCTTAGTGGAGACAGAGGAGGAGTGGATGGGGGGGGGGAGGGGGGAGGGGAGGGGGAACAGGAGGAGAGGAGGGAGGGGAAACTGTGTTGGTATGTAAAATAAATGAAAAAAAATTAAAAAAGAAATCTCTGGCTGCTCCTCCAGGGGACCCAGGTTCAACTCCTAGCACCCCATGATGGCTAACAATAGTCTGTAACTCCAGTTCCAGGGCATCTGATGCTGGATTCTGTGGGCACTGTAAGCAGAGACATACATACAGGCAAAATATCCATACATATAAAGAAGAATAAATAAAAAGATTAAAAATCAAACCAAGTTGTCTTTTGGAGTACTAGAAATAGTCAGGAACATCTATCATGCATTCAGCCCTTGCTACAGTGGGGAATATTTTAAAAACTATAACATTTTAGCATGCCGTTTAAAAAGTCTGATTGTCCAGAATATAGAATGAACTCCTACAACCCAACAACAAAAACACCAACAACCACATTAAAAGCTGGGCAAAAGACAGAAATAAAATTCCTCCAAAAAGATGGCTGGGGCCTAGAGAGACGGCTCAGGAGCTAAGAGTATTTGCTGCTCCTGAAGAGGACCTGAGTTCGGTTCCCAGCACCTTTGTTAGACAACCTACAACAGGCTGTGACTCCAGAAAATCCAACGCTGTCTCTGGTCTTCTCCAGTACCTACGCACATGTAGCATTGACAGACACAGACACATATACCTATTTTTTAAAAAAATTCATTAAAATGTTTAAAAGAAGATAGCCGGGAATACATATATAATGGGGCAGGTCTTAGCTACTCAAGAGTCTTGGGTGGGAAGACCTCCAGTTCAAAACCCACCTGGACTACAAAGTGAGTTCAAGGCCACCCAGGTCACTTCGTGAGAATCTCAGAATTTGCAAATGACTGGCAGGGGAGAGTCTGAGATGGACACCTTGAGTTCAGTCCCTGGAACTCCCATAAAGATGGAAGGAGAAAAAGGTTCCACAACGTTGTCTTCTGACCTTCCCTCAGGCAGTATGGGCGGCATGCGCTCCCCCATAATGATAAATGACACAAGTGAACTTTTTATTTAAAAGTTTGATTTTTGATTTTGATTGATGAAAGGGCCGGAGATATAGTTCAGTGTCAGCATTTTGCACACGTGCAAGGTCTCGGGTTCAATGCCACTACCACAAAAAAAAAACAAAACAAAAAAAAAAAAAACAGAAACACAGAAAATGGACTTAGTACTACATGGGTCATCAAGGAAATGAAAATCAAGTTATAATAGGTTGCCATTTTTCCATCCACTAGAATGAGTGTAATTTTTAAAACTGGGACTGGGGGCTGGAGATGGCTTCAGCAAAGAAGAAGTTATTGTTGCAGACCCCAGCTTCCATTCCCAGCACCTACATGGTGGCTTACAACCGTCTGTAATTCTAGACCCAAAGGAACTGACACAGCACACATACACACACTCAGGCATATCCATAAAATAAAATGTGGTGGTTTGAAAATGGCCTCAGAGGCTCACAGGGAGTGGCACTCTTGGGAGATGTGGCCTTGTTGGAGGACGTGTGTCAATGGGGGATGGGCTTTGAGGTTTCAGAAGCTCAAGTCACTAGTGGCTCACTGTCTCTTCCTGCTGCCCGTGGATCCAGATGTAGAACTTTCAGCTACCTCTCCAGCACATCTACCTGCATGCTGCCATGCTTCCTGACATGGCAATAATGGTGTAAACTTCTGAACTGTAAACCCAGCCCCAATTAAATGTTTTCATTTATAAGAGTTGCTGTGGTTACGGTGTCTCCTCACAGCAATAAAACCTTAACTAAGATGTGAGATAAATAACTATTTTAAAACAGAGCTGTAATGATGGCACAGTGTTTGCCTCGCATGAATGGGGCCCAAGGCTCAATCCCCAGCTCAGAGGTGAGGTAGAATAGGTGTTGGTAGCTACTTCACACCTTTACAGACTGCTAGTGAACATACAAAGTGGTGCAAACACTTGGGAACACACTGCAAACTCACAAAAACTCTCACACAACTCTTCATAGCAGTATCCCCACGTTAGACAAAAAGTGGAAATACTTTAAATGCTCCCCAACTGATGCATGCATAAACAAAATATGGCATGCCCATACAGTGGGATACTATTCAGAAGTAAAAAAAAATCAATGAAGTACTCACACACACTACAGTATACATGGTCTGCCTTTGGAAACAAAACAAGAGAGGACTCATAATTTAGAGCCCATAATCTCTTGTAAGGGACCCAAGTTCAGTTACCAAGTGCATACATCCAAGTCAAGGCAGATTTGAAGCCTTTAGCCTCCTTGGGTACCTGCGCTTGTGTGCACATGCCATGCACACACACACACACACACACACACACACACAATTACAAATAAAACAAATCTTTTCTTAAAAGAAAACACGGCAAGTGCAAGCAGCCAGTCACAAAATACCTACAAATACAATTATGTGTATATGAACATAGTCTAGAGAGACAAAAACAACAATTTATTGGTTTACTAGGGTGAGAGCAGGGGTTGTTGGTGTTTCCATTATGTCCCTGGGGTTCCCAAAACAAAGATCTATAAGCGGGACAGCTCAGAAAATTGGAAATTAATTCTGCATTCTGCAGGTTAGAAACCTGAAACCAGAATGCAGGTAGGACCGTGTTCCCCCTGAACTGCCTAGGAAAGATCCTGCTGGGGCTTGCCCAGCTTCTGGTAATTCCACACAGCTCTCAGCATTACTCAGTTGGTAGAGGCTCCGTTCCAGTCTGTCTCCATCTCTACAGCTGTGTCCTTTCATCCAAGTTTCCCACTTCATAAGGATATGAGTCCTACTGGATCTAAGGCCTTTGTAACCATTGTATGGACTGAACGCCTTGTGACCCATCCTATGGAATGAAGGCCTTTCTAACCATGTAAGTAGAACCACATAT